ACAGCAACTTAATATAACTCTCTCTTGACAGGGGAAAAGGAGATGCTACAAAGGATGAGCCCCCTCTCAAGCTCCATGTGACTCAGTGTGGCTGAAGTTTCACTGCAAAGCCAGATTGCATGTCACTGCCTCCAAGGCAAACAGCTTCTTGCCTGCAACGGCACTGTGCATTTATTGTATCAAGAATAAGTCATAATTCTTGGAGAAAAAATTGCATACACGTTAAGAGAAAGGCAAGGATGGTTAAAGACGGGAAAAAGTGTGAAGTGTTACGTCACAGCTTGTACAATTTTACCTCAGACCGAGTGCAACTGTCTTTGTAACGTGTCGCTGTCCTATTAACAGTCCTCTCTCATGCAGCTAAGCAAACCAGTTGTAGGCCAACGCCTCAAAAACACTGACAGAGCAGACATCTCACTGAGGAGAACAAGTCGATCTGTGCACAGTGGGACTCAATGTCCTGTTTCCTGTGCTTGGTGAACGTATGGCTAAAGGTGAGACTTCTGATGGCTTTGCTTTCACTTGTGGTTGCGCATTCTGGAAGTCCTTCCCGTGCAGATTCTGTAGCGTTTAATAAGCAATACTTACGTTGCACATTTTTCTTCTATGAAAATACTAAAAGTAAGCTAGCTGCTTATTTTCATGAAACTCACAAAAGCTTACTCACAAATACATGTGAAAGTGGTAGAGCTAAATTTAAGAAATAAGCAATGGTACAATCTTATGAGACAGCTTGCTGACACAAGCTCAGTTTCCTTAAGAAACTAGGCTAAACCCAGCCTTTCTTTCATTTCTCTAGCACATCTTAATTTCCAGAAATCTGCCTCTCATCCACCCCTGAAGAGGAGCAAGTCACAAAATAACATTTTCAACTTCCAAAGCAAGTTTAATTCTGGACACTCCATATATCCTCAAAACCAAAGGTTCACCCTAAACACTCACCAACTCCCCTCTGGAATCCAACAGCAGAAACTGCTCTGGGGTGTGAGCAGGACTGACGGGCCAAGTCGACAGAGGATTACTCAGCCCACTCAGAATAGTCAGACAATTGGCAATGGGTGCAGGAACCTCAAATCCAGATTTCAGTAGAGCTGCTTCTACACTTTACGTGTTTCTTACATGACTAGCTAAGAGGATTTATTTTTAGTTTTAGTCCTTTCATTCAATAAATGTGTATTGGCAAGCATTGGCATGAAGAAAATTACAACAACAGCTTTTTTACATGGGCTTATATTAATCATTCAGCAACTGCTTCCTTCTTAAAATAAGTGAATAAATAAAGCATTTACCAATGCAATTTCAGTACTTCAAAGAAAGGACCTTTTTGGAGGAGTTTTCTCTTTTAGTCTAGATGATGAAATCAGCTTCGCAGTAGCGTCTGCAAGGCTCTTCATATTTATTGATGTCTGTGAAGCATAATGGTGAGTGGTACACACAGAAATAAGTAAAACTGAGCAATCAAGTAAATGCGTCTCTATCAGCCTGATGCATAAGCAACACAGACTGTCACAGAAGCTACTGACCAGAATGCAAATCAAAGATCATAAAATAAGATGGCACAGAGATATATGACTAGGTGTAACAGGCTGCAGGTCACTGACACCAAGTTTAGTTATCTGCAGATCCAGTATTATCATTTTTCTTCTTTTTTTTCTTTGATAACCCGAGACAGTTTTCTATGACATTATTGCATTTCATCCTACTCTGTGACACAATATTTGTCAATCATATTGGAAACAAATTACACAAGGATGCATTTCAAAGCTTGGAAATCAGGAAATTAATACAGGTCTTTTGTAATTACAATGGTTGCTATCCCAGCACCCTGCACATATCATGTGCAGCTCTGCTAAAAATTCTGGGATAAGAAAATGTTACTACAACCTGAAAAGGCATCCGTTTGTCTTTAACAAAGCTTAATTTTTAACAGTTTTAAATCAAACATTTACAGAATTTTGGTGGGTTTGTTTTTGTGAAAGTGAAACCCAGGTTTATTTTGCCTGTAGCTGTATAGAATGTTTCATAGAAAACACAAACCTGAGCACAGAAAGAAAAGTGTAGGAAAGCAATATTCTTGAAGGTTCATACAAGTTACTTTCAATTCTTGTATTGAATTATATTTTGGCACTGTACTAGAAACTTTTTTCCTTTGCCCAGCCATTCTTCTGCCTATACTATGGGTTTTTGGACTCATCAGTACAGCAGAAGTTTTCATAATCTCTCTCTTAGTGTCAGCCTACACATTAGCAACACACCAGGGAACACATGCATATAATGAAAGTCGTCTGGCTGCAGCAAAATATTTAGAATTATAAAATTAATTTAATATTATCACTATCTGAGCCATCCTCCATCAAAGAGCCTCACCAATTCCTGTAAGAGCACTCAAGAGGTCCATCTGCACATTACTTAAAATCTGACCTTATTCCAACTCAGGCAACTGAGTTTGTAAGAGACACAAAACCCCAAAATGCTTTTACAAATGTGGTGAATTCTATTCCCTAAGATAAATATTCAGAAAGCAATCACACAAAGAGTAGAGGATACACTGCAGCAGAGAGTGAGTAAATCATCCTGCCTTTATCTGGGCCTTTCCTTTATGATCTCACACAGCATTTCTGAGTAAATAAGGAATTTTGCTCTGGGTTTCTGTGCAGGTAGGATGTAACCTGAACATCCTTTCACATACAGATATTAATGTGTCTAAGCGTATAAAAAGAGAATATAAAAACCTTACAGCCTTTTACAGCTCATATGGCCACTTCAGACAACACGTGACAGTCTGTTAGTAGTATTTTTGCTCTCCCAATCTACGCTTTGTGAGCAGTAAGCGGCTCTATGTTCCTAAGAAAGTTACTCCTCCTTTTCCCTAATCAGCCTTTTTTCTTAAATTCATGCCCTTAAACCCAAGCACACACCTCTCTCTTTTCCTTTAACAATATCGCCAAGCTCAGCTACAGCTCGTGGGGTTTGTTTTTTGAAACAGCTTTGAGGCTCCTTGCAGGGAGTGAACCTTATCTGTTAATTTTTTAATGTCATTGACCAAACCGTAGTCAAACTGGGCCCTCTGTTGGTAGGAGACAATAAAACAGCTAACGCTAAGGGACTTTCCTATTATTTCACTCTCTTCATTTCAGACAATAATAAGTCTGAAGTAGGAAGGAAATAAACAGAAAATTAGTATCTTTATGGCTTAAATAGAGAGAAGAGCTCAGTTTACCTGAAGTCTTACACGATTTTCTTAAACATTCACTGATTAATTTGTTTAGCTTACTTGAACTGAAGAACTGTTTCCCAGGAAGTTCCAGTTTACTTTAATGAAATGCTCACAGAAGTAAACTAAGTCTACGCAGGCTACAAGAATACCTGGGATCAGAACTACAAGTGCTTCAAGTGGTCAAAACACTCTCCTTCACAGGATGCAAGAGGCTCTGGATTCCTGTGTGAGTCAAGTTATTGCCCTAATTAAAGTAACATGTAGAAAAGAATAAATTATTTATTCTAATTTTCAGAGACATTTGAGAGAGGAATGCTAAGAGGCAGGAAGCTGAGTAGATTCTGCAGCCCTATTTCAAGTTCAAAACCAGACAGCTCTGTATGAATTAGAAGAATATGTCAGCTCTAAATTCACATATTCCCTGATTTTAAGGTCAGAAAAGTACTGTGATCCGCTAACTTGTACTTCTGCATTAACTGACTGTAAAAGCTTTAATTCCTCTGCAGCGTGTAGGTAAGCAATGACACCATAGCAAGATATTTTCTGATAGACTTACGGAATTTGGAGTGCTTGGCAGAGCTGCCAGAGGAAGAGCCATCCTGTTTTTTCCCTGCCCTTCTTGTGTTAGCTGGTTCCTAGATAAACTAAACATATTTTCTCAATAGTTGGCTGACAGTTTTGATACTTCATAGTTCCCTGGTAGCATTCTTGAGTTATTTTTTACTGCTATTTTTTCCAGAAGAAGGGCTTCTGAATACTGTTCAGGTTTTTGGTGGGGTTTTTATTTTGTTTGGTTTCTTTTTAAGTATTTATTTTTTTATGCTATTATTTAAGTATATCTTGCTTTTCAAACACCAAAGCCAAAAAATTACCATATGACAATACATGATAAATACTAAATATGACACCAGATTAGCAGAGGTCCTGCCTAAAGACTATGATGCAGGGCCCTGATCAGTAACAAGCAACAGCTGATCAGATGGAACTCACACAGTATGACTATGCACCGAGTTTTGAGAATGAACTCTCAGGGGAATACAGAGAGTTACACAAACCAGTATAGCAATCAACAGAAAAAAGCAGCTGGCTCTTCAATATTCCACTGGCAGACATGAAATCTGATTTTATAACTCTTCTATATCACCAGAGTCGGGCATTCCACTATACATCATGGTTCATTAATATACTTGCTGTTTCATAAGGCACAGATACTAGTTTTAAATACATTTCTCCATATCTTTCAAAACTGACTTAAAACTTTAAACTGCTAATAAATCTTAACTGAAATTAATTTCAGGTTTCTTCACTTTTTTTTTTCCATAGCAATAATGAAGTAGTACTTTAAAATTATTTAGTTTATTACAAAAATAATAAACAATACATAAAATGCCTATTTAAAATTTTCTCAAGGTGCAACAGAACTTGAAAATATTTCCTTTGTTAGTCACTGCAATGTAATTTCCTGACGAGACTGAAGTACCAACTCCCTCTGACCACCCCAACTCACATCCTTCTCCATTGCATGACTTCTCCATCAGTCCTCCTTTCCTTCCTCCCCCAATTTCTTTGTTCTATTAAGCAAATTTGACAGCTTTCTTTTTAACGTTTTAAAAGAAACAGAGGATCAGGATATGTGCCATGTTGCAAAGAGCACAGTATTTGCTTTACTCTCTGGCATTTATTTCCCATGCAGAATGCGCAAGCTGCAGAAATGAAGCATGATTAGAAATGTCAGCCCAAATGTCAAATTGCCCAGCTGCTGACAACTGAAGTATTTACCCACCTGCTTGCTCCAAAGCAACCATTGTTGCCTGCTCAATTAAGTCACGTTCAATGAAGCTTCTAAAATCTTCACTGTACACACTAAGGTCTGGCAGCTGGAATGTGTAGATGGGCATCTCCAAAGGGAACTGTTCATTGCCGCAGTCATTTGCTACATGTGATCGGGCGAGGGAGACTATGGCTGAGCTGGCGTGTGAAATACCTCTGGAAAGACGCTTTTCTGTAGAGACACCAAAGAGATATTATGGCCGATAAGACTACACAAAAGGCCAGTCAACACCAAGTCTTGCAAATGCCCATTAATTTCACCTAGAAATTTATTCTACTTCTTCTTTTTTTGGGTTATTTCCCTATGGTAGAAGATTGCTTAGTTCTTACTATGGATGCCTATGGCAAGTCATAAGAACTTCACCATCCTTCTAACAAAACAGATCAACAGTAGAAGTAACAACATATGAAAGACAAGTATTTCTGTTAAATTTTTTTTTTATGTATTTTGAGTTTCCAAAGATGCATTGGAAGAAACATTTACTGGCAGACAGATGATAATCAGTTAATGTTTTGAACTCTTAATTTAAACTGACGTCTTGTGAATCAAAAAAATCCAGCATTCTACAATCACTTCATACCGAACATGCCACTGTTTTAATCTCAGAACAATCACCTGAAAGCAGTTTTAACACGCTAAATTTAAGCCAAATTGGGTTTTTATGCATATGTGTTTTCTAAAATCCTGATCCAAGAAACAATACGTAGTTCAAAAAGAAGGATGAAATTAACAAGTCTGGTACAAAAGAATGCATTATTTTATCAAAACATCTATGAGCTAATATCTTGTAATTTCTTAAACTTCTCTGTGGACAAATCCTATATAAGGAACAGCAAAGGGTCATTCAAGCAAAATAAGCATTAGAACATTAAGAAAGGGACAAAATATTACTATCATATCATTTCACTTTACTGTACAGCCTCAGTTCTGATGTCAGCAGATGGGTAACAGAAATACACTTCAGGTGCTTCAACCATGAATCACTCAGTCAAAACTGATACAGATATTTTCCCTTTGTTCAGTTTCTGCCCTGTACTCCTGTTTGTATTTTTAAAAACCGAAATGAACCTTCTGTAGCTGCTTAGAATTGATGTTTATCAAAAGTTACTAGTCTTCTCTCAGAAGATTAACTTTCAGCATAAAGCTTTCCACACCTGAGAAGTGGCACTCCCTGGAGGCACGGCACCACGGCCTTTCCGTGCTTCTAACAGACCGACCTCAGGTCTTCCACTGAGCTGCACCCTCTCCAGCCATCCTTCGCAAGGGGAGTGATCTTAAACTAGACTAGAAAGCCTCCTTGGCATTTTACTGAGTTTTATTAGTGAGCTGACAGCAGGGTTATGGAGTTCCTTACATTTTTGAATACGCAGAAAGCTTCCTGGTGGGATTTACATAATATTAAGTTAGATAATATTTTCATTTATTTGCCTTGGAAATGGGTACCTTATCATACAGGAAGCTTTTGTAAAAAATTATCCAGTGCAACTTCACCTCTGTACCTTCATAAAAATACTACCATAAGCTAGTCTTTATTGAACAACTCTCAAACACGTCCAATGCTATATTAAAATAAAGAAGTTCCTGTACTTCTGTGCCTTCAGAAATTAACAAAGCAGCTTACTTAAATGGAGCTTAGTAAAACAACTCAAACTGACTAATGCTTACTAAAAAATTAATTTTCCTGGAGTTTGTGAACTGTCATTTCTCTAATGGATCAATATTTTTCTAATTTTAAGAGCTAAACTGCACTCCCTAAAATATCCTAAATTGGGGAGGTGGGGAGGAGGTTCGATTTCACTTGGATTTCTTTCTTCTCCCTGTACATCTCAGCTACATCACTTTTCAGGAGGGGAAGTAAAGCATAGAACAGCATTTCCGCTTGATATCTATCCCCTTGCTACCACTCCGTCACCCCTCCCCACCACGGTCCAGCCCTCACCTGCCGGCTGCCTCCTCCACTCCAAGTACCTGGACCACCACAAGACCCTCATGCCCCTTCTCTGCTCCTCCCTGAACATCTCCTCAGCCACTGTCACGTTTTGGTCAGAGATGGCTCTCTGATCATGAAGCCGCCAGTTTTGCACTGAAGTGGTGGCAAAGTTACGGTCAGTCCAGGCACGTAAAGCCAGACCTGTCCCCCCTACCTGCTGCACCTGTCCCATGGACATTTCCGTGCAAGCGGGGCAGTTTAATAATGCCAGTGAGCTGTGTCCTGATGAGGATGAAGGGACATAGTTTTATGAGCTACAGTGCACTACTCTTCCTCACTTTATTTGTATTCAGTGCTTTTAAGAAGTCGTAACAATCACTACAGTTCCTTTTCTACTGATGGAAGTTATCAATTGATAAGAAGCTTTACTGACACTCCTGAGTACTGATGCCATCTCCTGTTTAAAAGGAGGGAAGAGCCAGTAGGAGAAGGGAAGCCTTTCTTCTCCTAATGATTCCACAGAAAGCCATCACCAAGCTAGTGCTGTTACCTCTGCTACATGGTGTAAACTACAGTTTGATAAATTAATATTGAAAAAAAATGCATTCCAACAGTCTGAGAGACACAGAGATCTGAAATAAAACCTATAAAAGATCTGCAAATAAATAAGTAAATTCTAATGCTTATCATGTACTGGAATTCGACTGCTAGAGGCAGTTGACTCATTTTTCTTAAGGTTTCAATTTCTATTTGGCAGGGGATAGGAGCTCGTCCTTTCTTCTGTGGAACCATGAGAGAACAAAATTTTAAAGCTGAAAGTTATTCATAGATTGCAAACACCTTAATCACATACTGTGAGAATGCAAAAGTTGAAACACTGATTTTTTTTTAACCTTTTTTTGTCTCGATAAGCATAGAAATCTACATACAACAGTGGTCTGTGACACCCTCTAATTCCTGTTATATGTCCCACAGGACTGCTTGTATTTTTGCACTTTAATCACACACTAAAAAAAATAACTTGCAGAACTGAGGCAACTCATGACAACTGGAATATGTGAAATGCAGGGTGCAGCAGCAGCTCCGTGAATCCCATCACAACACAGTTCCCAGGCTGATGGCGAATGACTTCCAACTCCCTGCAGACAAGCACAACTCACAAGCAGACAAGCTCGGAAGCTGCTTGTCCACAGAAGCCCTGAAGAGCTCTTACCTTGAGCAATGTCATCTTGCCTTTGCAGGCAGGGCCGCTCAGCCTTCGTCACCTGGGGAGGCTGCTCCGGCTCCTGCTGCTTGTAGTACTTGCCCTCATTGAACACCTGTGGCAGGTTGGCAGTGTGCACCTGCCGGAGCTGCTCATAGTCGCTCAGTGCTGCTGTCAAGTCCCAGTTTTTGCCTGCCAAAGAGCAAAAGGACATTCTGCTCACATTTGTATGTGACCAGATTGATAACCTGGAAACCATCTTCATATGCACTTAAAATATAAACTTAAATAGAGAAATCACTCTTAAAGCATCAGCAAGGAAACAGAGGTTCTTTGGATAAAACATTTTACAGCCACTCCTCCCTCAACAAAAATGCACAGCTGAGAAACACTTCGAAAGTACACAGCAAACGGAAAAAGAAGTATTTTATTTCTGGTTTTGAAATTTATATTTTCATTTTCTTTATATCATAATTGGAGAAGACATCTGCAGACTTGATGTTGCCTCACTGATAAAGACTTTAAACAGACAGAGACCCCTGAGGTACAGCATTTGTTACCAGCTTGCAGCTAGAAAGCTATCCATTAGCCACTGCACTCTGAGCTTGACTCTCAAAACAGTTATTTGCCCGTCTAGTTGTCCATCCATCCAGACTGTAACATTCTAACCCGAATACAGCAGTACTGTGGGGAACGGTGCCAAAGCCTTGCTAATGCTGAGGCAAAGCGATGCTCTCCCCTCCTCCACAGATACAGACATTTTATCATACAAGGCACTAAGCACCAGGACTTCCCTTGCTCTAATTCCCATCAAATGGCTCCAGAAACTGGCAATTTAAAGATGAAAATAATCCCACAGAATTTAACATAAAAGTAATGAGAGACAGTAATAATTCACATCTGTTCAGTTGTATTAATAATAAATAAAAATTATCAGCAATGATGGAAAGACGTGACTGTTAAGTGTTACAGCACATGAGTGAGAAACTTTATCCTTCTATTCACAGAGCAGCTGGAATGCAAATGCAGAACACTTCAGGTCCCTTTATCTTACACATCAGAGAGAACCTGCGCTCCAAGAGATTTTAAAGTTCTTTTAGAAAGCAGACAGTATAGGATAGCATTTTGTGACAAAGCATGTAGCAAGAGGATTCAGTCCGTGTGGCTGCATGTCTGTGCGAGCTGCTCATGGAGCCTGCCTACACAGAACCCTCTGAAAGATTTGCTTCCCAGATCCCATTTCATCATATTGCTATCACCAGCCATAGCAGAACACAGGCTGACATCTGGAGATAAAGGTGGTGAAATGGCACTTGTCACTCTCAAACAATAATAACGGAAAAAATGTTCAGATGCTTATATGTTATTTTAAAAACAATCCTGCTAAGCTAAAATACATAGATGTCCTAGTATTCTCCAAGTACTTGATTTTAATTGGAAAATTACAAATATTTAATAGCAAAAAAAAAAAAAAAAAAAAAAAAAAAAAGATCCCACTAGTTAGGAGAGACTCCCACAGCACTACGCGAGCACTTTTTCTGGGAATTCAAAAGTAACGTGCTTCTGACTAATTTAGTGTTCATTGCACCATAAGAGGTTGTTGTCATTTTGTGTACTTCAAGAAGCTACGTCACCTGAGTAGCAGTTAAATATAACTTATTTAGTTACACAAAGGAGAATTATCTAAAAATAGTACAAAGCAGTTTTATACAGATAGAAAAGTCTTTTACTGTTACAGTTATTTCTGTGAAGAACAAAAATCTAACTGAAATAGGAAAAAAGTAACACAGACAGCTGTTACCTACAAGGTTGAGCTAAACTATCTCCAGTTTTGAAGTACAAAACAAAATTGTGAAAGGAGAATTAATATCACTAAGCAAGAAGGTTATATACATCCTGAGGAGTCCATAAATATAAACCACCATGTCAGCGATATGGAATCGTTATATATGTTATGCTGTCATCTTCTACTAGAAAGCCTGCAGGACAAAATGTATACTCGGTGAAAATTGTCAGAGATCCTAGAACAAGCACTTGAGTTATTGCCAGCATATTTTTCTAAAAAAAATCATGTAGATTGAATGTCTATAATCCAGTCAGGGCTCAGCTCTAACTATGTGTGTGTGTGCATGTATATATATATATATATATATATAAAATCTGAATCAAGTTGCCCAACCCAAACATTGCAGAATCAGAAGTGAGTTCCCAACACTGATGTGATCAATGTTTGGAGCAGGGATTGCTTTTCTTTGGTCCTGTTTTTAGGAGCCACTTCTTCTCAACCACAAGGCCAAAAAAGTAAAACTTTTTTTAAAAAGTGAAAGTGATAATACATACAATTCTAGAAAATGTAGGTTTAAACAAAATGGTATTACTCGAGTCTTGGGAATGCTGCAAGTCCAGCGTTACGTGACTCCCAGCAGCAACCTGGGTTTATTCAGTACAGATCCTTGAGTGACAGACCTGTTAATGGCACACAGACAGCATTTCTCTTGTGCCAGGGCATTCACAAGCCACCTGCTCATTTTCATGTTTGAGTTCTGAAATCTAACACAAATCCCTGTGCATGTGCTGTGTATGACTGCTGTGTGATGGGGATTTGATGTATGCAATAGGAAAGAAGAGAATCAGGAGACTACCGAAAATCCCGCTGTCCTTAGTTTTAGACCAAATTCAATCATCTTATATAAAAGGTCCATCATAAAAATTACAGTCAGCCTTCAGAAACTAGGCTCACAGCGTGTTGCATTTAAAATCTAAACTGCATAGTAACTCTTGAGTTACGCTCCATGGTACAATGAATCAACTGAAATTCTAATACAGACTTGAAACTATACGTAAAGTAAAATTTCTATATCTAAATGTACCTTACATAAAAATATTTATTTTCAAATCTCTCTGTCTCCCTGGATTTGTCTCCATCTCCTCAACCAAAGCACCAATCAGCACCAAAGCCGTAAACTTCAGAAGACCGACACAGGAAATGGTTGTTGGACTCACTGTCCCCAAACTTGCTGGAGCCTCCAAGCATCAGAATGCAATGAAAAAATTAAGTCAAATGAGAGAACATCTGAAGTACCTTTCCATCTCCATGAAGCAGTGTTTTTGAATACGAGCCACCTTAGCTGACCAGCATACGTGTTTTCAGCTGCTCTCTGTACTGGAAACATGTAAGCTTGCCCCTTTTGCCAAGGCTTCCTCTTCTTTTGATTTATATTTTCACAAGTAAATACAAATGACAGACCTTTTGTTTTTCCCATTGCCCATAGAAAACAAGGAGAATTCATCAGTTTGGGAGGATTAAAGAAGAAAATTCATAAGTCAAAGAAGAGGAAACTGGAGGCAGCAAAGAGAATTAGAGGAAAGGAATAGAGGAAAAAAGAACAGAGGCATTTATAAAAGACACTGCATAAAGAAATACAAGTACAGAAACTTAATGCATAGTAAAATTAAAAAAATAAGTAGATCTAAAAAAAGTGTGATGTATTTTGGACCACAGAAAGGGACTGCGGAAGCAATGGATAAGATGGGAACAAATGAGAAAGGTTATTAAATTCAGTGATGTCCAGAGCAGATGATCTGCACAAGGATTTCCAGCATTGTGACATGGTAGGTGAGAAAGTTTCAGATGGAAATTACTGAGGAAACCAGTGGGGCTTATGATTTTGCAGATTAATAGAGCTAACTCTGCCTAGTTCTCCTCCTTTAAACTTTGCGTACCAAAAGCTTTTGAATTTCTAAAGCTGTACGTTACTATATTCAAAATTAAGTTTTGAAAGAAGAACAAAACCTAAGGTCTGCTGGGTCAGAAAGGACAAAAATAAATCAATATAACATTGAAATCAAGCATATCCCCCTCAATGCCTCACTGGGTAGGTCCCTTCTTCCAGTCTTGCTACTGGTCCAACAAGTTTCAGCAGCTTTCTGGTTTAGAGCAGGTTGCATACCATCCTTCCAGGTCCCTATGATAAGACCTAACCTTTCTGTTATCTAAGTTCTGTTTGTGTGTCTGTTCCCTGTTCTTCTCTGAAGCCTCCTAGACCCTGCTCCTCACACACGTCCCTGCTCTGTCACATCTTTTTTATTTTAATTGTCATCTCCTGCACAAGCCCTCAAAAGAAAGGAACAATCTTTCCTATCCCACAGGGGTTACACCTGACCTCCATCACAAGGCTGAAGGAGAAGCAAAAGGTAATTCCTTTATTATGCATAGTTTCATCAACTACATTAAGTCAAGTAAGACTTTTTGTTCCAGTCTGAAGGACAAAAACAACACCAGACTATTTTTCAGATTATCCACTATTTTTTTTTTTACTGTTATTTACCTGACGCACCCTACTGTTCACTGACTGCTAAGTTCTTAGTTTATATGACACATTATTGTATTTAAAAAGGAATTCCACAGGCATAACAACGTTATTGCAGCACACACAATCACATCAGATGACAAGTAACTGGTGGCACCATACCAGGTAGTAGCAACTGAATTGCTCCAGAGCAGTGCTGACACATGAAAGGCTTTGAGTTCCTAATGGTCAGAAAACACCGGTCAGCAACAAGCTGGAGCAGCACAGAGCTGGTTAGAACACACGGGTAGTGAATCATGATCAGGATGCTGGAATCAAATTAATTCACTAACTCAACAGAAGTAACACTCTTAACTGAACAATTATTTCCAGCTGCACATGTTATATGAGTCAGAAGGTGTAAAACTTAACAGGACTGAAAGGTCGCTGCTTTAAAACTGTTTCTAGACTGGAGGAAAAACAACAACAACAACAACAAGGTGCAGCTGAGTAAGGAAGAGAAGATGCACTCCGACTGAGGGCTGGTACTGACGTTTCAGTGTCAGAGACAGCAGGCACCTACATGAAAGGGAAGTTAAAAGATAAACTCAGTTACAGTGTGAAGTTTCTGTCCTAAATAATAGTTGCTTGAATAACAACAGGAGGCATTGTCAGGCTGAACTAAAAACAAAGACTTAGATAAAACAATATATAATTTAAGCAGCCACTTATCTGTTTCTGCCTTACCACCTCAAAGTGGATTAGAAAAGGTTTAAAAAAAGATGCTAAAGAACAGCAAGAGGAGGACTCACCTCAGAAGCATTCCAGATGATTCAGTTTTTCCGTATCATCAGAGAGGACTGCTTCCCCCCCACCCCCACCTCTGCCCTATTTAACAACTTG